GGCTTCCTCCCACCCCCTGGGCCAACTCCTCATCTCAGCTGCTTCTGAGAACAGGATGTTTACTGCCTGTGCTCAGCCTCGCACGCACAGTCCTCCCAGCTTGGCCTCCACAGCATTCTCTACACTCTGGAGCAGCGGCTCGACACAGGGTCGCTGAGCCTAAGGGACTTCCCCTGCTGCTCTTCAAAGCACTTTCACACCTGGTTTGGAGCTTCACAAACTGCCTGGAGCCTTCTGGAGACATCCAGAGCCTCTGTTGCCTGTCTCTCTGGGGGCGGGGATGAGAGCTGGGGTACCTTGACACCCCAAGGCCCATGCTTTCCCAGGCCATAGGGTTACACAGCCACTCATTATGGTCTTAACACAATGAGATCAGTTCTGGAATTAAGGTGCTGACAAAGAAAAGGGCAGACAGACACTACACTCACTTTGACTGGGAAGATGGCTGGGGGGGGGGGGGCAGTATCAGGAAAGCTAAGGGAAGTCGACATTGGGGCAGGTTATAAAGATACAAAACAACTAGCTGGATGCTGGTGGCTCATTCCTGTTGTCCTAGCTACTTAGGAGACTGAGATTGGAGGATCCTGGTTTGAAGTCAGCCTGGGCAGGAAAGTTCCTGAGACTCTTATCTGTAATCAACCAGCAAAAAGCTGGAAGTGGAGGTGTGACTCAGTTGGTAGGGAATGAGCCTCCAGTAAAGGAAGCTGGGGGCAGCGTGCAGGGCCAGCACACACAGAAGCAAAAGATAGGCAGGAACTGGCTGTGTCCCATGAGTGGAGGATGGAGGTGGGCAGAGGTACACAGAAGGCCTGGCCCATTCTGCAGGGGCAAAGGTGGGGGAGGGGAGCCGCGGTGGCGCCCCCCCCCCCCCCACGGACTGTGTGCAACCCTGAACACTATGAGAATCCATTGACTCCTTCTCTATTGACTCGTTCACTGCCGGGGCTCACTTGTTCCTATGCAGAAAGGGCGTGGAAGCCGGATCTGTGCAGATTCAAGCCCACAAGTTTGTAGCTCAGAGGTAACCAGCAGCATCACAGTTTGAATCAGAATCACAGTCCTAAGGCGGAGAGCCCCGCGCCAACATGTGCCTAGGAGAGTGTGGATCAGAAGTTGGCTTTTAGCTGGGCGCTGGTGGCTCACACCTGTAATCCTAGCTACTCAAGAGGCTGAGATCTGAGGGTTGCGGTTCAAAGCCAGCACGGGCACAAAAGTCTGTGAGACTCTTATCTCCAATGAACCACCAGAAAACCAGGAGTGGCGCTGTGGCTCAAGTGGTAGAGCGCTAGCCTTGAGCTGGAGAGCCGAGGGACAGCGCCCAGGTCCAGAGTTCAAGCCCCATGAAAGTTGGCTTTGGAGACCTGAGGAGGGAAGAATAGGATGGAGATTAAATATTTACAGTATCTTCAGCAGTAGCATCATTGATTATTATTACTATTCTTATCATTATTATTGCTGTTGCTGCTGCTGCTGCTACTACTACTACTATTTTGCTAGTACTGAGGTTGAATTCAAGACTTCAACCCCTTTGACTAACAAAAATCGCTTTGGTTTGTTTTTCAGGCAGGGTCTTGTGCTTTTACCTGAGCTGACCTTGCATAGAGATTCTCTCATCTCTACCTCCTGAAGAGCTGGAATTACAAGCATGAATCACAGCCAGCTTGTTCTTTTTTGGGGGGTCTGGTCGTGGGGCCTGAACTCTGGGCCTAGGCACTGTCCCTCAGCTCTTCAGCTCAAGGCTAGCGCTCTACCACTTGAGCCACAGCGCCACTTCCGGCTTTTTTCTTTTTTTGCTTATGTGGTGCTGAGGAATCGAACCCAGGGCCTCATGCATGCAAGGCAAGCGCTCTACCACTGAGCCACCTTCCCAGCCCCTCTCTCTTTCTTTCTACCTTCCTTCCTTCCTTCCTTCCTTCCTTCCTTCCTTCCTTCCTTCCTTCCTTCCTTCCTTCCTTCCTTCCTTCCTTCCTTCCTTCCTTCTTTCCTTCTCTCCCTCCCTCCTTTCCTTCCTTCCTTCCTTCCTTCCTTTCTTTCTTTTGCCAGTCTGGAGACTTGAACTCAGGGCCTGAGCACTGTCCCTGGGCTTCTTTCCTCAAGTCTAGCACTCTACCGCTTGATCCAAAGTACCACTTTTGGCTTTTTCTGTGTATGTGGTACTAAGGAATTGAACCCAGGGCTTCATGCATGCTAGGTAAGCACGCTACCACTAAGCCATTTTCCTAAACCTCCCTAGTTTTTCTTTACTGGTGAAATAATTGAGCCACAAGTTGTTGTAAACTTTTTTTTTTTTTTTTTGCTTTTGCTAAGAATTGCTGTACTGCTTTCTGGAAACAGTTGTGCCACTTACTAGCAGCCTAAGAATGAGTGTTCTGGCTTTACCAGAATTTTAGGGTTTGATTTTCCCCCAAAAAATTGTTTTTATAAATAGAAAAAACCCATTGATGACCTAATAGGTGTAAAAAATATGGAAGATTTACTTTAATTTGCATGTCTTCGATTGCTAGAAAGATCAAACTCGACTTGTAATCAGTTTTTGTTTGTATTTCCCCTTTCGTAAGCTATTTTGATGCTGTTGTTTTGTTCTGTGTGTTTCACAAGTGCCTGTTTATTCAGAACACCAGCTCTTCTATGGTTGGAGGCTCTAGTCAGGCATGCAAGCCAGCATCCTAGGCTCCTCTGCCCCTCCATGGTTCCGTGGCTGTCATGGTCAGCTGACCTCCATGGTCACTGCAGGGCAGAGGCTACAGTGGCTGCTGGGAAAGAATACCCTAGGAGCTCAGCAAGGACTGGTCAACTGTGGAGAGTTAGCCCAGAAGGTTCTGGAGGGAGGTGTCTGTGCCCAAGGGCAGAAGATCCTTGAACAACCAGGCTTAGGAAAGCAATGGGACCACCTTTAGTTACTAGAGTCCACGAGAGTCAGCTAGCTCCTTCCTCAGTCTTGCTTTCCATGTCTGAAAACACAAAATGCAGGCATTTTGTGGATGCATGCATGCATTTTGTGGATGCATGCATGCATGCAACCACTCACCCACCCATCCATCCACCCATCCATTCACGCATCCATCCACCCACCCACCCATCCATCCATCCATCCACCCACCCACCCAGCCATCCACCCATGCATCCATCCATCCACCCACCCACCCATCCATGAATTCATCCACCCATCCATCCATGTATCCATCCACCCACCCAGGCATGTATACATGCATCATCTACATGCATGCATCCATCATCAATCTATCATGCATGCACGCATGCACCCATCCATTATGCATCCATCCACCCACCCACCCATTCATCCACCCATGCATGAAGGCATGCATACATGCATCCATCCATCCACAGAGTAATTTCTCAGCAGTATTTATGAAGGGGCATGGGGGGATAGCTGCTTTCTCAGCCTGTGGTCTACCCAAGGAATGGTAAATTAATGTGCATCTAAGGTAGAATGAAAGAAACAAAGAGAAAAGCCATGGCATGGGGGAACAGTGGAAGGGAATAGCAGCCCCATCCAGAGGAGAAACAAATCAGAGTGCAGTTGATGGTGCCTCTTTCTTTTAGATAAGAGATACAGCTACCTCCTCCAGGTAGAATACCTTAAGGGACAGGGGAACACCTATGGATTGGTAAGAAAATGTTCTATTCTGTCCTTAAGTCCCTCCAGTAGTCTGTCCACCCATCCATCCTCCCATCCATCCTCCCATCCATCCGTCCATCCATCCATCCATTCATGTATCTATTTCACCATGTATCAATCCGCCCATCCATTCATCCAACCACCCATCTGTCCATCTGTCTGTTCATCCACCCATCCATCCATATATCCATCTCTCCATCTCTCCATTTCCCTGCCCACCCATCCATCTATTTATCAATTTGTCCACCCATCCATTCAGCATTTATTTATCCATCATCTATCCATCCACCCATCATTTATCCTTTTATCTATCTCTCCATTCTCCTTCCCTCTATCTATCTATCCACTCACCATCCATCTATCCATCCATCTACCCACCCAACCCTCACCCATCCATCCATTCATCCATCCATCCACCCATCCATCCACCACCCACCCATCCCCTCATCCATCCATCCATCCACCCACCCACCCATCCACTCATCCAACCATCCACCCACCCATCCACCCACCCATCCATCCACCCATCCATCCACCCATCCATCCATCCATCCAATCCATCCATCCATCCACCCACCCACCCATCCATCCATCCACCCATCCACCCATCCATCCATCCATCCATCCACCCACCCATCCAGCCATCCATCCACTCATCCATCCATCCATCCATCCATCCATCCATCCATCCATCCATCCATCCATCCATCCACCCACCCACCCATCCACCCACCCACCCACCCATCCATCCACCCATCCATCCATCCATCCATCCATCCATCCACCCATCCATCCATCCATCCATCCATCCATCCATCCATCCATCCACCCACCCACCTATCCAGCCTTCCAGCCAGCTTCCCACCTCCCCACCCACCCGGAACGATTCCTCGGCAGTATTTCTGAGGGGCGGGTGGGTGTGGCTGCTTTCTTTGCCCTCTCCAGACTCCAGCGGTCTCTCGCACAGGAGCTCCGCGGCTCAGAAGTCCAGGTTCACCACAGTGTCAGAGCAGAAACTGCTGGGGTCCCTCTCTTCCTTGGGTGGAGGTGGAGCTGGGGCCTCAGGACCCGGGCATCTCGGGAGCCCCACCTCCAGGTCCAGGCTGGGAGGCTCTTCCCGCCCCAGTGGGGGGCGGGTCATTCAAACCGCCCGGGGAGTGTCGCAGGGTCCTGGGGCAGCTCTGGTCTCCGCACGTGTTTGCCGCCTTCGTGCTGCGCCCGCAGGCGGGGGAGGAAGGCTGAGCCCTCCGTGGGCAGCCAGCTCTGCGGCGACTTCATAGCGTGCGGCTGGGTGCCGGCGAGGTGTCCGGCGGCCGCTCCGAGCGCCGGGACGGCACGTGGGCGCCGGGCTTCCCGGCGGGGCGCGGGCTGCCGGCCCTGCCCAGCGCCGGTCCCGGCCGAGATGCGCGCCCTCCTCCCCGCGGTGCCCCTGCTGCTCCTGGGGACGCTCCGGGCCTTCCCGCAGGTACGGGGTGGCAGGACGGGGTGGGGGCGCGGAGAGTGGGTCTGGGGCGCGTGGGGGGGGGGTGGGGGGCGGACACGAGCGCGCAGCGGGATGGGGCCCCCGGGTGGGACGATCTGGGGCGCTTGAACACGCAGCTGTCCACCGCGGGGAGGTGGACTGGAGGGGGCAGATCTGGGGAACTCATCCATTCACTCATTCATTCATTCATTCATCTTGGCTGAACTGAGCCTGTCTCGGGTCCCCAGGCAGATCAGGGGAGGCTGGTGGGGTCCTATGCGTGAGAGGTGGGTCCCCTTCATCAGAAGATGGGAGTCTGGCTTGGCCCGGCTCTTGGCGCTGCTGGCCCCTGGTCCCTACCTCAGCTGTCCACCTGCTGCCCGTGGCCAGGTGTGTGTGGGGGGGGGAAGGGGCAGGTGTTGGGGCAGCCCGGTGGCCAGGGGTGCCGGCTGAGGGCCTGAGGCCTGTGGTGGGCATTTGTTCCTGGTGGGTGGCCTGAGTTTGGGAAATTTAATTAGGAAAACTTAGCACCTTCTAGCAGCCAGTCAAGTAGGCGGTGGGCAGGGAGAGAGACTCAGCTATTCAACAGAACTGCCAAGCCAGGCCGAGCCCAGGGGCCTGCAGAGGAGACAGCCCAGGCTGAACGGATGGTGCATCATGAACTTGAGATGAAGCTCCCACCACGGCTGTGTATTGGTTCATCTCTTTGCTGTCCCACACTGGAAGGAAAGCCAGGGCCAGATTGCCTTCCAGGGTGCTGGTAGTGATCTCCCTCTTTTAACCCATATTCCATTGGTCATATCAGAGTTTCTACTTTGTGTGAAGAGATAAGGGAGATAGCATGTGTCCTGGTTTTAATTTGTATTTCCTCATTGCCTAGGAAGCTAAGCACCCCCCCCCTCCCAATCCCCATGGAGCAAAGGTCTGGGTGGTGTTTGGCTGAGTTGCCTACCCTGCATGATGCCGTCTCTGTTCCCTCTGGTTTTCCAAGTGAAGGTTTAGGAATAGAGTAATACTTATTAAAAAGAAATCTCAAGGCTGGGAAGGTGGCTCAGTGGTAGAGTGCATGCCTTGCATGCCAGAGGCCCTGGGTTCGATTCCTAAGCATCACATAAAGCAAAAAGAAAAAAGCCGGAAGTGGTGTTGTGGCTCAAGTGGTAGAGTGCTAGCCTTGAGCTGAAGAGCTGAGGGACAGCGCCCAGGCCCAGAGTTCAGGCCCCATGACCGGACCCAAAAAAAAAAAAAAAGAGAAATCTTAAGTCAGGACTTGAATTTCCAGTCTTTAAAAAAAAAAAAACAAAAAAAAAAAACTCTGTCTGGATAGGCACTGGTGGCTCACACTTGTAACTTTAGCTACGCAGGAGGCTGAGATCTGAGGATCAAGATCGGAAGCCAGCCTGGACAGACAAATTCTGAGAGCCTCTTTATCTCCAGTTAACAAGCAAAAGGCTGGGAGTGGAGCTACCAGAAAACCGGAAGTGGCGCTCTGACTCAAAGTGGTAAAGTGCTAGCCTTGAGCAAAGGAGCTCAGGAACAGCCCAAGTCACTAGTTCAAGCCCTAAGACTGAACACACACACATACACACACACACACACACACACACACGCACACACACACACGCACACACACACACACCCTCCATCTGCCTTTTTCAAAAGGCTCCCATTTTGCAGTAAATGCCTTCTTTTCTGAGAAAGAATTGAATGGTCCCTGTTTTTTGTTTTTGTTAGTCATGGGTTTTGAACTGTGGGCCTGGGCACTGTCCCTCAGCTCTTCAGCTCAAGGCTAGCACTCTATCACTTGAGCCACAGCGCCACTTCTGGCTTTTTCTGCTTATGTGGTGCTAAGGAATAGAACCCAGGGCCTCATGCATGCAAGGCCAGCGCTCTACCACTGAGCCACCTTCCCAGCCTGGTCCCTGTTTTTGTAACATGCCCAGGATCACTGTGGTGCACATCCAGAGAAAAGAGTTATTTCCCCACAGGGCCATCTTCTTCACCCAGGGATCCCAGGAAGGGGCAGGGCATCATCCTTCTGATGACCTCTGTAACTCCCCGCATCCCAGCTTCATGCCTCTGATAATCTTGGGGATCGGGCGGGCTCTGTGGGTTGGGGCTGTGGGCGTGGCTTCAGGGACAGTGGGTGTGGGCGGGGCCATGGGCGGGGCCTTGAGCTCAGTGGGTGGGGAGGGCGGAGAGGTCTTAGAGGGCTGGTGCACTGGGGGGCGGGGCTTAGAGCTCAGTGGGTGGAGTCTGTGGGCAGGGTTCTGTAGGCCAGGGCTTCCTGTTGGAGTTTCCACCTGAAAAACTTGTCTAGAAACCCCAAACAGTGGCTGCTCATCGAGGTGGAGGCGAGGCTGGGGTGTCAGGAGCGCCCTGGAGCAGGGTACAGCCCTGCTGGGACTGGGGCCCCTTACTGGAAGAGGCCAAGGCTCCCACTCATAACTGACCTCAGCCGGCTTCTGAGTACTTGTGATTCATGTATGTGTGTGTGTGAGTGTGTGTGTGCCTGTCTGTCTGTCTATACTGGGGCGTGAACTCAAGGCCTGGGCACTGTCCTTGAGCTTATTTTTCATGGCTGGCATTCTACATATGAGCACAGATCAACTTCCAGCTTTTTGGTGGTTCACTGGAGATAAGAGTCTCACAGATTTTCCTGCCCCCCTGGCTTCAAACTGCGGATCTGATACCTCACTCTCCTGAGCAGTTAAGCTTACAGGTGTGGACCACTGGCACCGAGCCGCTGTACTTTCTGGCCCCACTCAGCCACGCCGAGTGGGGAAACAGGACAGCTCCTGACATGGTCGCACACGGGACGGAAAAGGAGCAGAAGAGCGTCCAGCCTGGGGAGTCGGGGCCCCTGAGGTGCTCGGGGACACGGGGGGTGGTCTGTGTGGCCTCAGTGAGAGAAGGCAGAGAGCACCAGGCCCAGAGTTCAAGCCCAAGGACTGACAAAAATAAAATAAAATAAGGGCTGGGAGGTGGCTCAGTGGTAGAGCGCTTGCCTTGCATGCATGAGGCCCAGGATTCGATTCTTCAGCACCACATAAGCAGAAAAAACCAGAAGTGGTGCTGTGGCTCAAGTGGTAGAGTGCCAGCCTTGAGCTGAAGAGCACAGGGACAGCATCCAGGACCAGAGTTCAGGCCCCACAACTGACAAAAAAAAAAAGAATAAAAATAAAACAAAACCGCCAATGTGGAATCCCCCATGCACTTTTTTTTTCTTTTGCTTTGTTTTGTTTTCTGCAGAGTTAGAATCGGATGACACGCTGTTTGGGAAAGGGCAGTCAAGTACAGACCTGCTGCTAGGTCACACACTCTGCCTCTCTTTGGCCCTGAGACTTGAGCCTCACCTCCTTCTGCTCCCATATCCAGTCCACCATCCGCGGAGGGCTCCCTGTGCATCCCCCTCCCTCACATCCCGCCCCTCCCCATCCCTGCCCCCTGCTGCCCTCGCTGGTGCCCGCCTCTCTCTTCCTGCTGTCATCCTCGCCACCGCCACCGTCCAGCAGTAAGAGGAAGTACACACGTTCTGTAAGAGCCTGCTGTGAGTCCCCACATTGGCTTATCTCTTGACATAGAACATTCTGCTTTTCCCTTGTGGTTCAGCAACGTTTCTGTCATCATCTAAAAGAGTTTTCTTTATGAATTAATTCCCTAGGTGCTTTTTTTTTGGGGGGGGGGAGGGTTGGGGCTTGAACTCTGGGCCTGGGTGCTGTCCCTCAGCTCTTCAGCTCAAGGTGAGCGCTCTACCACTTGAGCCGCAGCGCCACTTCTGGTTTTCCGGTGGTTTATTGGAGATAAGAGTTTCATGGCCTTTCCTGCCCAGGCTGGCTTTGAACCGTCATCCTTAGATCCTAGCTACTCAGGAGGCGCAGGCCACTGGCTCCTGATTTTGTTTTGTTTTAATGGCATGTTTCTGATGGGCCTGTTATGGAAGCCATCCTCATGGAACTTAACATCTACACCTGGCTGGTGCTTGGCCTCACTTGCCTAATCCGGGGCCTGGCTCCTGTTTCGTTGCTGGACGAGGGCCATATCCATTTTGTTTTGTTGCTGCAGTAACAAAATGCACGAGGCTGGACACTTTGCAAAGCAAAGAAGTTGGTTTCAGCCAGTTTTGGAAGATGGAAGCCTAGAATTGGGTGGCCTCATCTGCCCCTTGCGAGTCCTCCCCACCTGGCTGTGCCACCACATGGCAGACGTCATCACGGTCAGAATATGCAGGAGAGAGGATGTGGTGAGATGAGCAATCGGGGAGATTCAGGCTCAGCCTTGCTCTCTGGAGAACTAGCCAGAGGCCTAAATAGAACTATATTAGTCACATGCTGGTGGCCCACACCTGTACTCCTAGCATTCAGGAGGCGGAGACCTGAGGATCCAAGTTCAAAGCCAGCCCAGGCAAGAAAGTCCGTGAGACTCTTTTCTCCAACTAAGCATCAGAAAACTGGAAGTGGTGCCATGGTTCAAAGTGGTAGTATCCTATCCTTTAGCAAAAGAGCTCAGGGACAGTGGGTAGGCTCTGGGTTCAAGCCCTATGACCAACTGAAAAAAAGAGCTACATTAATCCTTGCCAGGGCAACACCCCAGGGACCTCGCACTGGGCCTTTTCTTTTTAACACCTACTCTGAGGACCTCACTTCCTTCTGGGGGACATGCATACAATTATCTCCACACTCTCGCAGAGCCGCTAGCTTCTTCTCCTTGTTGTTTCCCATAGTAGCTGTCATTACCCCAGACTTACTTGTTTAAAACAATGTGAAGTCCTTCTCTCTTTCTCTCTCTGAGACAGGGTCTTGCTATGTAGAACTTTGGCTCTCTGCTTCCCCAGTGCTGGGATTATAGGTCTACATCACCATGCCCAACCACAAATTATTTCCCTCTTGTTCTGTAATACTTAAATCCAAAGTGATTGTCAGCAGGCTAAAACCAAAATGCCAACAGGGCTGGTTCCTCTGGAGGTGTGGGGCAGAGTTAGTTTTTCTTTCTTTCTTCCCTCCTTC